CTCACTGTGCACCTCTCTGTAGGAAAGCTGTATTCATATGTGTACACTCGCATGCATAAATATTGTCAGGGGGAAAAAAAATCAAGTCACTATAGATAGCATCATGGAAAATTAGAGATGAAGCTGAGAATAGACAGCATTAATAACCCAGGCTGTTATGTCACCAGTCAAGTAAGATGCCTTATGAAGAGGAAAAAAGAGCACATGGAAATCTTTAAGTAACATATTCAAGTGTCATAGGCACCGGCACCCAGGAGCACGTGTATTTAAAAGGATGAGTGTGTGTGTGTTTGTGTGGGTGTGTTTTATGCATCTGAAAAGGCTCCCTGAGACAACTGAACACAAAGCCAGCACATGTTTGTGTTAGGTTGAGATGCTGGCATTAAGATGATTATATGACTCTATTAGCAGGGTGTTATGGCTCCAATTTCACTTAACATCTGAGTTCACATTAAAATATGCCCTTGGCCTGACAAGGCATTATTAACTTGCATTTAATAAAAATAAAATATTACATTTAAAAAAATTGAAAGCTGACAAATTTGATTTAAATGAATACTGAACTCCAGGCAAATGTGTTGCTTGAACTCTGCCTGGTGTACTGGAGCTGACAGGAAGCATTAAAGTAATCCTGAGTGGTCAATATGTGATTAAATATCACATGTCAAGCTTAGCAGGAATGTTCCTTCCAAAGAAAATTATATTGTTAAAAATAAGTGACAAATTCTAAGCAGCTCCTTCAAATTCATAAAGATATGTGAAAGAATGGAAGCCTGTAAAAAACTAGGATGTCTGCAGGAGACAGAGAATATAGTCTCATGCACAGAGCCAGATAGAGCATCTACAGATAATCAGATAAAAATGATTACTCATATTTGAAGCAATAAATTTTCTTTGCATTTGCCATAGAAAATAAAGAGAAGAGACATGCTACATTTTCACACCATGTTTTCATCTGAAAGCTTTTGCTGTCATGCTGTTCTGTCTAAAGGGATTATTTATTTATAGACACTCAAGAATCTATATGTGTACATACATGCATAGACATACATACACATGCTAAAGGCATTGTCAGCAGTATTTAGAGAGAGAAAATTAGAGCTAAGTTAAATTTTAAAGGAAATAATTGTAACATTAATAATAAAATGTCCACCCTACCCTGTCATTAGATGTTTGGGAACACTAATGCTTCATGGCTATCATCTGTTACAGATTCCAGCTGGGAGAACATGCTTAAACATGACCAACTTTCATCATGTGTTTGATGAAAGACAGACATAGATGTCATTGCTCCCCACTTGCTTCAGCAGGATCAATCCAGGATTACCAGAGTGCAATAAGGGCAGTGTCCAGCAGTCTATTTACATTAGGCATAGCAGTAAAATATCAGAATCTACAGCCTCAGATGAATGACTTGATATGCCTAGGTCAAGAGGTTACCAAAGCCAGGTGAGATCTGAGACCTATTTATCACTGCCTGAGCTCAAATTAAGTTTTAAATATTGTCAAAAATGAAAAACTGCTGCCAGATGGTGTCAAGTTAATTCATCTCACACTGTAGTCAGAAGCTGTCCTTTAGTTCCATCATGGTGACTCCTATCCTGAATTAGAGGGGTGCCTGTCAGAGAACCTCCTTTAGCAAGGAAGTAGGGGCTCTGTTCAGCCCTTGCTTCCTGCTTACAAGATGGATTTGTTGCATTTCTGTGGCTTGTGGCTACAGGAGATCTCTACCACACACAAGGGTCTGAGACACAGACTTTCTTACAAAGCAGCAGATGTTAGGTGGTGAGATTTGAGGCCTCTTTAGCTCCTACTTGATTAAGAAACCCGCTATTCTACCCACCTGGCCCAGGGAATGGGATCTGTTGGTCTGTAGAAAGAGGCATTTGGGGATGAAGACTTTGACCCTGGTGTGTTAGTGCAAAGAACCGTGGAGCTCTCCCACACATTGCACAGGGCTGGCACAACTGGCCTGCTCTTTTCCTCTGTTCTTGTTTCCATTTCAGGGCTGTAAGAAGCATGCCACCCTGCCTATCCTTGTCGCCCCCTGGGCAAAGGTTGGGATATGTTTTAGTTTACGGTGTTTAAGGGAACACAAAATGACATCCATCAATTTTATGCTTCTTCTCTCTCCCTTGCCCATCTGCTCTTCTTCCCGAGCCCTGCCTTCAGCTCTGGCTTCAAGCATAGTGCTGGAGCCCTCCAGCAGCAGGGAGTCTCCCGAGGCAGTGGGAAGAGGGTGTCCCTGGATCAGGGCTTCCTCTACTCTGATGTGCATTTATGCTGGCTGCCTTGGATCTCCCTGCAAGCTGAGTTACAGCCCCCAGCCCTTTGGTGTAGACAGGGGAGATGAGGACCCTGTGAACAAAGGTCCAACTGATGGGGCGAAGAGAAGCAGCAACCAGCAGCACAGGAGGCTTCTATGCCAGGCCTCTCCCCAGCAAACCTGGCCTGTTGGTGCCAAGGTGCCTGAGAACTCTGCTTTCTATGGCTATCATGTACTGCTCTGTGGTTTTTGGCGTGCCTGAGTAAGGGCATTGTATGTTTGGAGTGATCACTCACCACCAAGCCAAAGAACCTCAGATTCCCTTATCCCCAGAAGCCTTGTCGCCAGCTCCATCTTTTCTCTGGTTGTACAAGTAGAGGAAAATACGGGACTTCTCTAAAGTCCACCAGAGCTAGAAGGGTCCTTTCGTAGAGACTACGGGAAGATAGCATCTTGTGGTAACAGTAAAATCAGAAGAGTGGAGCGAGAGATGCTCAGAGCTCTGCTGTGCCCTTTGCAAGGAGTGGTTTGAGCTGGAAACTGGTTGTGTGCTATTGCCGTAGCATTGTTAACAACGCAAGTGCACTGTTATTTGAACAGGGGAAGAAATCAAAGCCAAAGGATGGTTAATCTTTTCATGAGAAGGTGATACTTTGCCTTTTGGGCTGGCTTGTTTCTGTGCTAGCACGGGAAATGGTATTTCACTGGAGTAGGAGAATGTAGTGTTGTTCTTCTGCCTTGCATTACTGAAATAGGGTCAGAGCTTGACAGATGTATGTGTACCATGGTTTTACTATCTCCATACCTCCTCCCCATGTGGGAAAAATACCATTCTCATTTCCAGGATCCGGTTTCCTGTGGGGTGCAGGAGCTGAAGCTGCAGAGGGGTCTCTGAGCAGACCCAGATATGGGGAGTAGGCTGGAACCATGGTGAGGGCCTGCCTGGGCAGGCAGGGTGAGGTGTTCGGCTGTGCGTCCTCCTGCCTTCACACCTCTCCTGAAGAGGAGAAAGACTTTGTCATAAGGACAAGTGCTGCTGCAGCCAGGGAGTGAGAGCGTGTCCGTTTGGGATGCAGATGAGACAGTTTCCAGCAATCAGAAGGATGGTGTAAAGTGGGACACACTAGCAACAAGCAAATTATCAAGCCTGTAAGCATAAAGATTGCAAATGTCTCCTAGTTTCTTAAATTATTATTTTTGGCAGGGTTGCATATGTTCTCTGTGCTCATTCCATGAATCCAGCTGATTATTATTCCAATCACCAGAGGAAGAGAGAGTCACATTAATTTGTAGTAATTAATAGCACTGATGCATTTGACAGCGCATGTTAACAAGCCTCTTTGATTGTTTGGATCTCTAACTGCGGCCCTTCTTGTTTGCATCTCCTCCGAGGAATTCATAATATCAAAGCTTAACGGTATCTGATACTTGTCAAAATGCAATTTATAAAAGTTTAAT